CCAGATCCAGTCATACTGACCTATTTAGAAGTGATTATTTCCACATTGTCAGCATATGTTTAACTGTATGTTTTGTATTTGGTGAACAGCTCTTATGTATATCAACTCAAGGAGTTACATGCGATTAGGAAAAATTAGAAATTAACGGGTTCTATATTGCCTAGAGTAACTTACTTTTTCAACTCCCTGTATACCATAAATTTTGAACCATGATGATATCAAGATTCCTTAATATCTGAATATAAATGTTAACTTTTATCCTTGATTTTATTTTCAAACCCTGGAAATTGAGTTTGGACACTCAGGGCAGTTATTTACTTGTACCTAATTCCAGTAAAAGCAAGAACTTAAAGAGGGATTTATGTCCATTAATGCCTGGTATTATATATCCTTGTGATCCGTTGGTGTCTTTGTTATCGCATGAATAATTGTAAACATGTCACTAAGTTATGAAATATAACCTTCTCCTAAATACAAGCCATCATTCAGGAAGTTAACATATCCATGTCATGCAACCCCCCTCGTTACAGCCTGAGTGATCACTGAGATACAAAAATGTACGACATTAAAAAAACAGTGTTCTAAGATGCTTTGGTGAAAGATCAAAGGCGCCGACAGTACTTTATCAGATGATAATGTGCACTTTTTGCATTACGTCACAATGTATTGTCGTCACTGCGCCATTCTAGTCTGCCCCCTCGTAATCGAACAATTTTGCATACGTCACAATGCAAGCGACGTCATGATGCATGTCAGTTGTCATCGCCTCGTACAGCCTCCTACAGTAAACTATTCCGTTGCATCCCGTTTCTTGGTTTGCAGTTGCTTCATGCAGCTGACATCACTGGTGGAAACATTGCGTTTATGTTTTCCGACGGTTAAAATGTCTTAATCCAACTCACAAGTTTTCAGCAACACAGTAACGTTCGCAATGTTTACATTCCCACAATGCAATCATGCTTGACTACTCCGCTTCATCTGGATGTCACTGATCAAAACTTACGTTGGTTGTAGAAATGCGACGTTCATATTGCCCTATATGGTTTACGTTAATCACAGATGTAATTAAAATAATTTAGAGAAGATATTTAATCCGAACGTTAACCGTCATCAAACTGTTATCATTTGTTTTTTCTGGTAACGTTCGTCTTAATGTAGGGGGGCAGACACATCAATAGAACAGCGCGCCAGTTAGCCCTGTGCGAGGATTCTTAAGTTAGGTCTCTGACACCGCCGTTTGTTTTCTGCCTGTTCATCGTAATCATCCTTAGAAACCATTACATCTGGCATCTTAGAAAAGAAATACAGTTTGCTCTACCATCATGTATAGTGTATCATATTATGATGTATATATATGTCAGGGTAGAGACTGCGATCTGGTAGAATCGGAGATTCTACCAGTAGAGATTGCGATCGGAGTCTCTACCAGTCTCTACGATCGGAGTCTCTACTGGTAGAATCTCCGATCCTACTAGTAGAGATTGTAATCGTAGTCTCTACTGGTTGAATCGGAGATTCTACCAATACATTTTCCAATTCAACTGGTAGAAACTCCGATCCTACTAGCAGAGGCTGCAATCATCTTCAACTGGTAGAAACTCCGAGTGATCTGTGGGTAAACAACAAAGACACTCTTTCTGAACAGTACTATACATTTTATTCAGATATAACACTAGACTGTTTCCACTTCTACAGATATATTAAGGACTAGAAATACAAATGTGACTTGAGAGATCATATTACAATATATACATATATTACAAAACTGATTACAAGCAAGATCAATTGCATAGTCAGTGTTTGCCCTAGGCATAAAAATTTAGGAGTCATCATGACTCCCTGGTGTCATGAGAGGGAGTCATGGACATGTTTTGGGGAGTCAACTTCTTTCATCAAGAGATCAACTGTTATTGTTTAATAACAACTGGTCCAAGTAAGGCAGGTCAGATATTTATTCAGCACTGGGCAGTTAACTGGCAAACATTAAACTTAGTAGTTTTAGGTGTCTTGGCATGTCAGCATTTTGGGAGGATAGGTGTAGGGCAATTCCCCACCAGGTCATTATCCCATCTGCCATATCCCCACCTGGTCATTTCCCCACCTCTTTGGAAAGCAGTGTTTTTATAACAATTACTGATCATAAGTTTTGAAATACATCTGAATGAACTTCCTACTTTTAACTGAGACTTTGATAACAAACATTTAACACCTCACTGTAAACAATATCAAAATAAAAAATTAAAATGGTTTGTAACACTGTATTTACATCATGAGACCAAGCTGCCAAATTTGGACTCCACTCAAAAAACCAAAACAAAATACCTTACTCCAAAACAGACTTAACAAATAAAGTTAACAAGATAACAATAAATAAGTTCAATTATATCTGGCAAATAATAGGAAAACATTATCCCCACTTATTATACCTATATATATATATTTATTATAATCAGTGCTCAGCCACTGAAATTTGTCTTCAGTGCAACACTGAGCCATGACTAATGTCACAGCTGGAGCCAGCTAGACTTGCCAAGTCTAGTTTTGAGTGGTATATAGAGTAGCAGAGTACGAGCCCCAGTTTGTTATTTGACACCATTTCCAGTTGATCTGTGTTAGTATATGGAAATATGTTAGGAAAAGATGACCAAGGCTCACTTGACTGAAATGTATTGAACTGTCTTCAGAAATATATGTAGCAGCTGTTTATTGTTTTGCAAATGCCCTGAACAAAGACGTTAATCTCCGGTTGTAATGATCTGGAAGTTCTGTGTGCATGTGGTGTTAAATTCAGCCACCACTTTACACAATAGCTACCATAAAAAAACAGAACATATGTAAAGAGCTATGTTTTGATAACTGCATGACTGGTTATATCTGAAGCATGAGAAGATGTTTCTGATGTGTTACGTTGTACTGAGGTGTCAGTGCATGACATTGTAGTTACTACTTGAGGTGAGATGAGGTGAAATTGGGTTTAACATCGTGCTTGAGAATATTTCGCTCATATGACAAAGTGCATGCATGTGTATATGTATGTGCGGCTGCTTGTACTAGCCCAGACTGAAGCTGGTTTTATAGTGCTAGCCCACTGAGATACCATGCCGCAGTGAAGCATGCATACCCCACTCAGACACATTATACTGACTCCGAGCGGACCAGTCCTTGTTGTACCCATTAATGCCAACGCCAGGCAGGGACCAACAAGTACCATATTTCAACGTCTTTTGGTATGACGCGGTCGGGGATCGAACCCGCGACCTCCCGCTCTCCGGGAGGACACGCTAACCACTACACCATGGAGGCGGTCAGTTACTGCTTGAAACTGAATGAATAACGTTGCATGGTTTGGAACAACACTGACACCTTGCAATGTATAATTTGGCCCATAATGTCTCGAAGATAGGCTAAATTAACCTGACTTGGGCCATGGCTGTCTTTTGGCAAGGAAAATATCAGAATGTCTCCTGAAGCAGTCTGTCCCTTGTTTAATAGACGTACACTTAGTCTCTGAATATATGTAATTTTTATAGTAACAAATAATCCCATTTAAAATGAAAAGGAGTTCCAGTGAGATTGGAAATTCAGAACCAGTTACTTGAGGAAATCTAGATTTGCTTCATTTGGGGATTTTGCATTGCAGGGAAGGCTAGACTGAAGGAAAAATTGCAGTTCAGGGAATATGATTCAGACTGCTTGTGTAACAGCCCTATGATATGCAGTTCTATATCCGTGTGACATAGGCTGTGCCTCAAAGTGATCTCAGTGCTAGGATGATTGTAACGTAGGTTTATGACAGTCGTAGTGCTAAGATAACTTTGTGGATTATGTGTCATCATATTACATGGATTGTTGTGCACCATACTCATTTTATCATAGACCACTCATGGTTAGAAGTTGTTATTTTGACCAGTCCACAGCAATAGGGGTGAAATGGTATACTGCGGTATAAGTAGAACTGCGGTATTTTGCCTTCGGTTCGGTATACTGTAATGCAATCCAAAAATTCGGTATTTTCGGGTTTCGTACCGTCCGAAGGCCTTGTACCGTATTTCGCACCGTACCGTGGTAAGGGCGTACCGTTTCACCACTACACAGCAATGATCTTCCGCATGGTTGACATTAACTAAACAGAAAAGTGGTTGCTTGCAAGAAAATGTTACTGAACTAGTGGACTTATGTTTCTGTTCAAACCCTGAATTATTGTTATTAATATCCCATATATTGCTCAAATTTGTGTTTTTATTCGTTGCCAACTAACCTGTTCACATGTCCGATCTGTACCAATAATCTTGGAATATTATAAATATGCGAGATACATCATTGTTGGTGTAAGATCTCTTGATCATTCTCTTGAAATGAATGCTAACCTTGCTAACAGATGCAACTGCAATATAGATTTTGAGGTTTCAAATCAACAACACACACACGATAGGTTTCCTGCAAGTATCTGATTATATGCACATGGCCAGGATAGCTAAACGCTGGATAGGGATGAGCAGGTCATATTGGACGTAGATAAACAGGAAGTAAACATGTACATCAAATGAGTCATTTTATATCACTTTGTTTAATCTTTTTTAGTAATAATACATTTTGAAACCAGTCATATTTGTGTTCCTGTTTGTGGAATATTTTAATTACAAGCTAACTTTGACCTGCGCTAATATATTTTTGTTGAAAGAAAATGTCACAAATTTTTTTCTGCAAAAATAACATGTAATCTTACACACGCTTTGCAGTTAAGAAGTAACTAGGCCTACATTAAAGTGTCTGAAAGATATGGTTTGTCATTTTAATGTGTTTTAAAAATATACAAGTATTAATGCCTGTTGGGGAAAAAATGAACGAGTGATCTGAAGTGAAAATGCAAGCACCCCCCTGAAATTTGAATGTTTACCCTGTTAACCTCTCACATTGGGTTTGGATTGGGGAGAGTCATGTTGACCAGGCTTCAGTGAGATCTCTTTCTTGTACCTTGACAAAGTCAGTTTAATTTTCAGGCTACCCCCTAGCCTTCCTGTATCGGCGCTGGATCATCCTTCAACCTGCTCCAGTCAAACACATCTTCTTCACTGTCTGTGGCCTTGTTCTCTGTTACTTCAATTTCGGTGAGTATTGGAGATACATCCTGAGATGTATTGCCATTGTCAGGTGCTGTGGATAAGTTAGATATCAATAATCGACACTGATGCCAATTTTTTATCGTCGTCATGTTTTGAAAGAGATAATAAGATGATTAAGCAGAAATAACCATTTACTTCAGGATTTAGACAGAAGGCTTCTTGTTTGAGGACACCTGCATCCATTCAGAACATGATCCGAACATAAAATCATGCGGCAAACATCAGTGCTACAACCAACTTTTTACCATTGAAAATACCTGATTAACCTGTTAACTGATCACATCCTCAATTTCTGCAGGGCTCTCATTTTGGTAAACCTACACTAACCCTTGGATATACCTGTTGTTCCCACAATTTCAAATTATCTGCCCTTGATTTCCTTTTGGCTACACTACTTGTTCTAACACCGATTAGAATGTGAAGTCAACATATAAATCAGTCTCATCCCCTGTTTGGCTGGCAATATGAACAACATGGCAGCTAGTCCTATCAATTGTGATTGTGTTTGAGAGAAATGAAACATTGAAACCTGACTGACACATAAACAAAAGCTCTCAAAATCTCTTTTGATAGAAATGATGTCTTCTTGTGAAATAAGACTGTGTTTGTCTTTGATTTATGTGCAATATGAGTAACCCTCCTTAACAGTTTCCTTTTTCCATGTCTCTGCTTGATTGGTTTGTAAAATGTGTATGAAAATTAAGGATAGGCCCCGAGAAGCACGAATTAGTGTAGGTTTACCAAAAAAAGAGCCCTGGAGAAATAGAGGATGATTTCACCAAAGTGAGGCCATTATGCAAAATAAACTCTCTCTCACTAATCTTCTAAAACCTTTTATTACACTTGCCTTTCTCCCACATAAGCTGGTTAACACAGATGATAAGATTGGAAAATTGTTCAGTTCACTCAGTCTTAAAAAAATGTTTACTCTACTTGAATATACCAAGTGAGTGAGCAACAGTGCTATTGAGCTTCTTCTCTTGTTTACAGTTATCCATGAAACCCCATGCAGCCTGAACTTAAACCTTCATCACAACTGAAGAATTCATTTGGTCCTTACGTTTTGTGGACATGTGTAGTGTATCTGTGTGTAGTTTTGAGATACAGATGTTTTGTTTGCAGGTGATGCTGTCACTCACTCGCTTGTCAATATCCTGGTTGACTATGTCATTCTCTGCCTCATCCCGGGAACAGCGCTGTCTGTGGCCTTGGCGTTTATTTTTAACACAGTGAGTAGACATTACTTCAGTAATTAATAATAATAATTGATTTATAGAGTGCCTATTTCCAAACGATATTGCTCAATGGCGCTATAAAGAGAAAAGATTGTAGACAATGTCTATGGAAAAGAGAGTTTGAAAGATGGGTTTTGAGGGCAATTTTGAAAATGTCAGCAGATTCTATTTCTTTTAGGGCGAGTGGTAGAATTATGGGGAAATAGGTTAACATTAGCACAATATTTCCCCAGAGTTTGAATAAAAATATGTACACTAGTTAAAACGTTTTGTCAAGCGTGGTTCCATTGTGTGTCATGGCCATAGATGAGAAGTTATTACTATTGCATTTATCCGAAAAATCCTCCAAATTTGGCCCTTCATGGAGATTCTAGGTCAGGGAACATTATCAGTAACCTATTCTTGTCATTACAGGCGAATGCATAGGGTGGCCAAGCTCAGTGGCTTGTTTGACAGTGTGGGACATTGCTCATAACATCAATCACTAGTCTCAGACTACAATTCATGGGATTGCGGGCATGTAGCTTAAATATTGCAGGGTACGGTGTCAGACAGACTTATACTTGAAGTCCTCAGGACCTTCAATGATAGAGTTATCTGTAGTTTGAGACAAGCAGAAATCATCAGACCATGTCTTGGACTACTGCAATATATTAGGTAATGAAGTCTGAGTAAACAATGTTCCTGTTTCCAGTCTTCACTCAGTGTACTAACTACACAGAGCATTTGCAGGAGTGCAGAAAGTCTGCAGTACATGTCATATCAAAAGATGTTACAAAATGGTACTTGTTGATACCCTGACTGGCACTCTGCATTCAGGGGATAAAACAAAGAGTGGTTGCACAGTGAAGTGTGTGTGAGTTGGAATCCATGTTTCACTGTGACAAGGTATCACAATGGAGACTTGTGCAAGCAGTCAATCGCACACATATTGCCGTGTAAGTGCGATAAGTTGGAATGCGATGTATAACTCCATTTCATATTGCATCACAAATTATGTTTACAACATGGATGTAAAATGAACTCAATGCTATGTAGCAATTTCTAGTAAAAAATCTTCCTTTTTCTTATGGTGTAAATTGTTGAGATCAACATTCAAATGCAATACCTGTTGCTATGGTTACAGTTTTACCTGATGGCTGGGTATTACAAGGTGGAGACAGATGACTACCAGATCATGTGGACCATGCCCCACTGTGTGCTGACACTCCGCCTTACAAGTATTATATTTGATGTGTATGATGGACGCCGGAAACAGAAGGTGAGGCTATCTCCATGTCATTGTGTAACATGGCTTCCTTGTACACATTGTCATTAGACTTAACAGTCCTGAGGTGGGAACCAAATGTCAGTTTGCAAGGAGTGTTGTGATGATTGCGATTTTGGAAGATCATCTGAACGCTGTAAGGGCGGTGGGTTAGCCTAGCTGTTAAAAGTTTCTGCTCATCATGCTGAAGACCAGGGTTCGATTTCCCACATGGGTACAATGTGTGAAGCCCATTTCTCATTTCCCCTGCCATTGCTGGAATATTGCTAAAAGCAGTGTAAACTCACCCACTCACTCACTCACCCACTCACTCACGTTGCTAAAAGCATAATTTTATATAATACTGGGACTGATGTTTACTGCTAATAAATCACAGGTCCTCCTGTTCTTGGATTGTATAGACATTTTGGACATACACTGTAGTAATGTCCAAAATGCCCACAGCACTGATGTCTTTTTATACACAACCATTGAGGAAGAGTCTTATCTGAACTTTCCATACATATTTCAGTACCTACAAGCACAATGTGTGAAGCTCTTTTGTGGTGTCCCCCGCCGTGATATTGCTGGAATATTGCTCAAAGCGACGTAAAACCATACCCACTCACTCCCTCACTCCCTCATATTCCTTTGCTGCAAAACAGCAGAAAAATTAGCTTGAATTGTAAATTTCCCATTGACAAGGGTACTGCAAGTGATGTGACATGGTACACACACTGTGTATTTGTCAGTGTGTAAAGCAAACCTTCATCCCATACTGATGTCAACCTCACAGATAATGCACGTCGGCAATTTCAATTTGCTTGATTCAAATAGAGAGCTTTATATGTGTTGTTATTGACAAAGAAAACATGTTGATGTTTCAGGAGGAGTTGACACCCGACCAAGCACAGACAGCGTTAGAAAAAACACCATCATTGTTAGAAATTTTTGGTCATTGTTACTATTTTGGAGGATTCCTCATAGGACCACAAGTAAGTCAGTAATCATAAGTGTGGTAGATTTACCTACAAGGGTTGAATGATTGTGTGTAACAACTGTCTGATACTTCTAGGTACATTGTAAGTTGTTCACTGGTCACGAGGGAGCCATGGGTACCTACATCAACCCATGGGCCCTGAGGGACCAGTGAACAACGTAATTATCTTACCGTACACCTTAATGTTAATTTTTAATTGTTTGAAGCATACAAATCTTTTGTAGCCTTCGCTAGATTTTGCTGACAAGAAAAACATTTAGAGTTATCTCCCTTCCATCGATTTGCATTCGCAAAACATCGGTAATTTACTTAGATCATACGTGATTCAATGTTATTCGAGATAAGGAATTACTACCACGAAGTACCAAATGAGTTGCCATTGACAGCGGGGTACATTGAAATGATACTCGCTTGTAAGCGGGGTACATTGAAAATAATAGAAGAGTGCTCAGCCAATCTGAAAGCAACATTATTTTTCCTTATCCTGACTCATGCTCTTTTGCTTGTCTTCTTCTTCTTGCGAACATAGTGGAACACTTGTATCTCCCTAATTGAAGTTCCCTTCAATAAAGAAATCACTAATTAGTACTCACGAGTTACCTGCCCTCCACAAGCGCGGGAACGAGGGCGCCACCTCCACCCATGTGCCTCACTCTCTCCTTCGCCCAGTGAGCTGGACGTGAGAGCGCCTGTGTCTCCCGACACACTATATCCTTTGATTATATTTAGTTAGTTACCTCGTATAGGCATCTATAGAGGTTTAGCTAGTATCCTTCAACAATTATATATTGATATTTAGTCGTGTTTGTACTGTTTATTCACGGGACGCCGTGTTTGTTCAGTGGATTAGGTTGATGAAAATCTGTACTGTTTGCAGATTACGTTTTTTCTGCTGCTGATCCGCATTTAATATGCCATAGCTGTACTGCGCCATGTTCAAGTTATTCACGCTGCAGTTGCTGTACTAATTTATCTAATTCTGCCTTTAATAAATATTTACTTTGCGTTTGAGACGCACAGCAGATAGGTCGCGTAAGACAGAGTCTAGCCATGACTGATACACCTGAACCCCTCGCCAGTCTACTGCTGTTGGTCGACCCCCCTCCCTTCTGGTGTTCCGCTAGAGTGGTGGAGAGGCGTGGGACTTAGTCCGCCGTCTCCAAGAAGCGTCCTGTTTTCCCAGACATCCCGTCGTCGCAGCCGAAGACTAGAGGGCTTCTACTTCATCTCAACGCAGACTTCGCACCCCGAGGGCAGCGTCGACCTCTGAGGGGAAATCAACGAAGTCTACTAGGACTTTCTCAACCGAGATTGTTCCAGCCGCTGAACTGGGCCTCTACGATGATCAGCCGATCATCATCCCCGATCTACGCCACAAGAGACGACCGGTGTCGGCAACAGTGACGTCAGCACAGATCGCCATGCAGCCTGATGTGTCTACACTGATGTCGGACGATCTTCCTGAGGGCCCCGTCGCTAACATCGCAGAGAGGGCACCGACTACATCGTCGCAGACCGTCCCAGACGACCTGATGCGGCAAATCATGAAGATCAGCCCAGGACCTGAGCCTTCGCGAAGGCTCCAAGGTAGACGACATCCCAGAGGGACCCCCCGTCAACGTAGCGGCCACGACGAAGCCACCTTCGCGAAGAAAGTCACAGACCACCTTGACGAAGGACCCAGATGTACAGCCTTTCGCGAAGGCCTTCGCGAAGGCTCCAACGTAGACGACATCCCTGAGGGACCCCCCATCAACGTAGCGGCTACGACAAAGCCACCTTCGCGAAGAAAGTCACAGACCACCTCGTCGAAGGACCAAGATGTACAGCCTTCGCGAAGGCTTGATAGATCATCACCTACCTCGGCTTCATCCTTAGATTCGGACTCAGACCACCAGACTTCATGAAAGCCTTCGCGAAGGTCAAGTCGCCGTTCCTCACGACCGGACGCAGAGGAAGCTTTGCTAAGGCCTTCGCGAAGGGCACCTTTATCAGGCTCCAAATCATCTTCGTCCAGAAGGACATCGAGGGATTCCACAAGAGCTTCGCGAAGCTATCAACATTCACCTCACAGATCTCCGCGAAGGTCAACCCATAGACGCAGATAGTCAGGACGTTCACCAAAACGCTCCCCTCGCCATTCTCCATGCCGATCACCTCGCCGTTCACCGCGCCGATCTCCTCGTACATCACCACGTCGATCTCCTCGCAGGTCACCATACAAGTCTTCACAGACACCCGGTACAGTGGTAGAAGCACACAGTCCACCATCTGAAGAGCATCAACCTCTCATCAGCGATCCCGTGGTAGAAGATGATGGAGGCATCAATTTTCTCAGACGCTGAGATACGTTATTGGATGGTTGACAACCTAGACCTTTCTTCACCTTCCAAGAGTGGTAACTCGGCGCATACTTACCTGATGAAGGAGGACGATGCAGACGCCATCACCTTACCTCCGATCGACCCGATTGCTGCGGTGCCACAGAATTTGGACACAGCCTGCCATAAAGCCATGAAAGTTCAAACGCCACACCATGACGAGGTGTATGTTCTTTGGCCTTAATAGATCTAGAACGATCAATGAGACTCTTATCACCAGATTTCGTGACACGACTTCTGAAGATGATAGGATGATCTACTCGGCCCTACTTATGCAGAACCAGCAAGAACCACACCGTGAAGCAAGCGCTCATATATTGATCGGACTCTAGACACTTCGCTAAGGAGGTCCCAGGCCGCCTCCGCGAAGGAGCTAGAGCCTCACCAGTTGCAAGGGACGTCGCGGAGGAGTAGCGCTTTCGCCGACCCCACACCCTGTTGAGCACAGAGGTCGTTCGCGAAGCAAGCGCTCATATATATATACTGATTGGGCTCTGACTCGATACCTTCGCGAAGGTCGCGAAGGCTAAGTGGCTCAAGTCTACTTCACCCAGAAGATCTAGAAGGGATACTTCGAGAGCTTCGCGAAGTCTCCGGCGTTCACCGAGGAAGTCTCCTCCAAGGTCTCCATATACTAGCCACTCGTCATATATAGCCACTCGTCAGTCCGTTCAAGACATCGCATAAGTTGTCTATCAACTGTATGCCATATGCCGTCTATAAGCCTACGCGAAGACAATTGCACAGGCTATTTACAACACAGAACGTCGCTGTATTAATTAGTCAACGACGTTTCATAGATCTTCACAGGAATCAACTTTTCCGTATAGATTGCTAGATATGCAATCCCGGACTACGATACGAGAAGAAATATGTACAACAAGTTCAGCTTTAATTCTACAATTATGACGATACATTCATGTATACAGTCTACAAGCTGACAACTGGCAAGTTTATTGTACCTTTATATAAGGAAGTCGGAATTATATTCAAAACTGAAGTTACTTTCACGACAGCCAGGAAAATAACCTACCCAGCATTAATATTACAGAGCGAGGTATTTTCGCGCCGGAGGTTTCGCGCGTTTACCATTAACCCTCGAAACACGTGGTCACTCGGGTAACTTCGGGAAGCTACGGTGAAGACCGACGATTATTCTAATATCAACGACGGCACGATATTATACAAGGTTCTTTTCCTGCTACACCGGTGACATCACAGCGTGGGTATTCTACAGAATCAAAATGCCTTGTTCTGATTGGACCGCGATGGACAACGACCTACGCAGAGGTCGATCTTAGTTCACAGTTCAAGACTTAGGTTACAAGTGACAACTATATATCAGTGAACGAGCAAGCCTCCTTACAGTCCAGTTAATCTGAACCTTCATGATTGGGCTGCCTTCTTGAGGTTAGAGACCTCCCCTGTCAAGTTTAGGACGAGGGCACGGTCAGGCGATTTTACATAAAGTTCAACGAGGACAGTCACACCTGGTTGTGCACCTACATCGTCAAGGACTTCGCAGCAAATTTACCTAGACGACGGGATACAAGTGGATCCAAATCCACAGCGTCTCAGACTACAGCTGAATTTCATCATCAAGCTACTAACACAACTAGATGGTTAGTAAACCTACTTAAGCTTTCTGATTGGAGGATTAAAACGGAAGTTTCACGCGCTCCAACTTGGGGATCTGAATATAGTGCTCCAACACCTCACAAGTGAGGTTTATGAACACGCTTTGATGATATACTTGGACTCCATGATACGATGATTCTATCACGATGGCCAGTAAGAGCACTGTAAATATATCTCCACCGAACCAAACAGGAGGGAAAAATGCAACAGATTATTTCCTCTATCATCAAGTTACGCAGACTGAAGTCTCACGTACTACTATCTCCTTTTGGATCAGAACTGTCATACTACGTGCCTACAAGACTGCAGGACCCGACCCTCCATGAGCTTCTAATACTCATGATATTAGAGCGTTAACTTCTACAATTGATCTACACAAGTGTTATTGAAATAATGGAGGGTTTATTTCTGGAGATCCGATATGGTGGTTGCCCATGGTCCTCGCACAACAGTTGACAGTTCCTCGGAGAAGATAAGTCAATCTTACAGATTTCTACTTATCTTATAACAGTACTAAATAGCTACATGCTATATATATTTTGCTTAAGTTCTTTTTATCATCTTAAGCTCAGTACTATGGTTATTACATCATACAATATATAAGTTAACAACTCTACGGAGTTTGTTATTATATATTTACCTTAAGTTAATCATATCTTAAGTGAACCGTAGTACTATGGTTACATTATAAATGCATTAGCTAACAAACTCTACAGAGTTTTTGGCTATTATATACGTAGCTTAAGTTAATTATATCTTAAGCATAGTACTATACTCATATTGTAAAAATATATTAGCTAACAAACTCTATGGAGTTTTTGCTATTATATAGGTAGCTTAAGCTTATTCATATCTTAAGCTCAGTACTATGTTTATATCATATAAGTATATTAGCTAACAAACTCTAAAGAGTTTTTGCTATTATATATTTGGCTTAAGTTTCATCATATCTTAAGCATTATGGTTACATTATAACATGTATTAGCAAACAAACTTTACGGAGTTTTTGCTATTATATATGTAGCTTAAGCTTATTCATATCTTAAGCGCAGTACTATGTTTATATCATATAGGTATATTAGCTAACAAACTCTAAAGAGTTTTTGCTATTATATATTTGGCTTAAGTTTCATCATATCTTAAGCTTTATGGTTACATTATAACATGTATTAGCTAACAAACTCTACGGAGTTTTTGCTATTATATATGTAGCTTAAGGTTTCCTTCATATCTTAAGCTCAATACTATGTTTATATCATATAAGTATATTAGCTAACAAACTTTTTTGCTATTATATATTTAGCTTAAGTTTCATCATATCTTAAGCAGTATGGTTACATTATAAAATGTATTAGCTAACAAACTCTACGGAGTTTTGCTATTATATATATAGCTTAAGTTTAATCATATCTTAAGCTCAGTACTATGTTTATATCATAAAAGTATATTAGTTAATAAACTCTAAGGAGTTTTTTTGTTATTATATATTTAGCTTAAGTTTAATCATATCTTAAGCTCAGTACTATGGTTACATTATAAATCTATTAGCTAATAAACTCTACAGAGTTTTTTGGCTATTAATATATGTAGCTTAAGTTAATTATATCTTAAGCACAGTACTATACTCATATCGTAAAAATATATTAGCTAACAAACTCTACAGAGTTTTTGCTATTATATATGTAGCTTAAGCTTATTCATATCTTAAGCTCAGCACTATGTTTATATCATATAAGTATCTAACAAACTCTAAAGAGTTTTTGCTATTATATATTTGGCTTAAGTTTCATCATATCTTAAGCTTTATGTTTACATTATAACATGTATTAGCTAACAAACTCACGGAGTTTTGCTATTATATATGTAGCTTAAGGTTTTCCTTCATATCTTAAGCTCAATACTATGTTTATATCATATAAGTATATTAGCTAACAAACTTTTTTGCTATTATATATTTAGCTTAAGTTTCATCATATCTTAAGCAGTATGGTTACATTATAAAATGTATTAGCTAACAAACTCTACGGAGTTTTGCTATTATATATATAGCTTAAGTTTAATCATATCTTAAGCTCAGTACTATGTTTATATCATAAAAGTATATTAGTTAATAAACTCTAAGGAGTTTTTTGCTATTATATATTTAGCTTAAGTTTAATCATATCTTAAGCTCAGTACTATGGTTACATTATAAATCTATTAGCTAATAAACTCTACAGAGTTTTTGGCTATTGTATATGTAGCTTAAGTTAATTATATCTTAAGCACAGTACTATACTCATATCGTAAAAATATATTAGCTAACAAACTCTACAGAGTTTTTGCTATTATATATGTAGCTTAAGCTTATTCATATCTTAAGCTCAGCACTATGTTTATATCATATAAGTATATTAGCTAACAAACTCTAAAGAGTTTTGCTATTATATATTTGGCTTAAGTTTCATCAGATCTTAAGCATTATGGTTACATTATAAAGTATATTAGCTATAAACTTTAAGGAGTTTTGCTATTATATATTTAGCTTAAGTTTAATCATATCTTAAGCTTAGTACTATGTTTATATCATAAAGTATTTTAGCTAACAAACTCTAAGGAGTTTATACTATCATATTAACAAGCTTAAGTCTATTAGTCTTAAGCATTGTATTAATGTTATATATACTTTATCATAATAAGTAAATTGTAATAACCTTTATATGGCAGCTGATAAGTTAGCAGCAGGAATTCATCAGTTCAGTGCCTTTATGAAGTTCCCATAGGGTTATTACAATCATCACAGTTCAAATCACTAATTATTAAAATCCAAAGTATTATATATTCCCACCTCCTTTTCAGTAGGATTCTACAAGTAAAGAGCATGAGTCAGGATAAGGAAAAATATGTAATTTTTAGAGTAAAATTGATATTTTATACTTATCCTGACTCATGAGGTAAGCCCTCCCATCCTCCCCACATAACACTTTGGATTTCCCTGTAAATTCAAATGTTGGGCTCAGTATATGAGGAGAGAGTGAGGCACATGAGTGGAGGTGGCGCCCTCGTTCCCGAGCTTGTGGAGGGCAGGTAACTCGTGAGTACTAATTAGTGATTTCTTTATTGAAGGGAACTTCAATTAGGGAGATACAAGTGTTCCACGATGTTCGCAAGAAGAAGAAGACAAGCAAAAGAGCATGAGTCAGGATAAGTATAAAATATCAATTTTACTCTAAAAATTACATTATGTGTGAGGTAAGATAATTTAGCTTCTATATTCCTATGAAACTTTCAGTTTGTGATGAATGGTTATCTGAAACCCCACATTTTGCAGTGAAGAGTTACTTCCCTTACACATGCTTGAAAGTAACATGCATGTTACAAGGTTTATCAGCACCCTACCAGAGGTCAACATCTAGGGGTGTATCATTTTGAACTTAATCTGACATGTCTAACATGACGCTGTCCAGCCATGACATAACTAAAATACTGTTTGAAGTTTTGTTGAACTCAATCACATCATCAGTACTTAATATTGATTGCTCAGCTGAAACATATGAACGGACAGTTCTTCGGTGTTTAGAAAAATATGACATGACATCTCAGATAGTTCCTGACTTCTCAAACTGATTACACTACATGAACAGTGAAGTTTCACTTGAGGGTTGATGGGGCGGTGGGTTAACCTTGTGGTTAAAGTATTTGCTCTTCATGCCAAAGACTCAGGGTTGATTCCCCATATGGGTACAATGTGTGAAGCTTATTTCTTGCTATTGCTGGAATATTGCAAGAAAAGGGCGTAAAATACCACTCACTCACTTAAGGATTGACATTTCATGTGTGTTGGTTTCTCTAAAAACAAATTATGCATAGAATAACCTACTTGATGCTGAGAATTACAGCTCCTCTGTCCCTTGTGAATGTTCCTGTTTTAATGTATTTTTATTTCAAAATTTAAGCAGCTAACACAGTGTGGTCTTCTATGGTTATCCATCTTGAATTTGTTTCAGTTTTCTATGCGGAGATACCTCGACTTCATAGACGGTGCTTTTCAAAAAACAAAAGAGGAGCCTCCCGATAGGTATGCAAATGTTCATTTTCCCTGTTTCCTGTCACCACGCTTATGGTCAAGCATTATGTCGACTATGAAAGAGTTGTTGTAGAAGATTTTATGTATCACACTGTATTCTTTGACAGCTATAAAACAAAGAAATTGTGAAAGAGAAATATTGTGTAAATTGTGTATTTGGCCCCTGTAACGATTATAGAAATATTCAAGATCTCATGTTTTGTTAGCTGGTAGTGTTCTTTATCAATGTTAAAACTTAAAGATTTATTGAAGTTAATTACATTCAGGCGACTTATTGTCCCTCACCGCAATGCGGAACAGGGGACTGTGTATTCAGCGACGTCCATACATACGTCCCAATTCTTGTAAAGGCGGTATCTCATGAACTGTTGAACCCAATGTCTTCAAATTAGGTGACAGCCTACATTTGGGGATTACCCACACACCAGTCGATTTCTTCCGCCTTTCTCTTGCCAGTCTACACATAAAACCACTAACACACAATTATCTGCCCCCCTAGGGATGTGGGAAGAAATTGTAGTCTGGCTGTTCATTTGCAATCTTGAAAGTGATGTATGTAAAATCAGTAATCCCAGTCCAAGTTTTGGACACTGTTTAAGCATCTTATGGTGAGATGAAGGAAATTCATGTCAATTTAGCACAGGTCAGTTTTTGTAACCACCTCATCAATCATGATCCCATAAATAACACAAGTTAAGCAGTAAGAAAATTGTAAGTGCACTTCTATTTGCCTTCTTGAAAATAAGCAAATCTCAAAGTTGCTGTCATGTGAAGACACCCACCCCATTATTCTTGTTTCTGTTTCAGCGTGTACCCTGGAGTAAAGAGACTGCTACTAGGACTGGTGTATATAGTTATTTTTCAGACTGGCAATCTGCTAGTACCAGATGATTATTTATTATCTCTAGACTTTGAGGTAAGTTCTTCTAGTTTAAGGATCTTCTATTTCTCATATCCAAATAAAGATTGCATATTGGCAAAATTATGAAGTTTAGCAGATCTCTTGAAATGAATGACTGAGTGAGTGAGATTTGTTTAATTCCGCACTCTGCAATATTCCAGCTATATGGCGGCAGTATGTAAATAATCGAGTCTGGACCAGACAATCCAGTGATCAACAGCTTGACCATCGATCTGCGCAATTGGGAACCGATGACATGTGTCAACCAAGTCAGCGAGCCTGACTACCCGATCCCATTAGTTGCCTCTTACGACAAGCATGGGTTACTGAAGGTTCATTCTAACCCGGACCTTCACTGGAATGAACAAATAGATATTGGTTTATGTCTCTACAGCAATTTTTCGACTATTTGTGGCTACTCTTGATACACTGGCTTCTTATTTCTTGATGTGTTTGAGTGTCGTGTCATTATTAGTTACCCATAAAGATCTGGGTTAGAATTGGTCTTCAGCACCCCATGCTTGTCGTAAAAGGCGACTAACAAGATTGGATGGTCAGACTCGCCTGACTTGGTTGACACATGTCATCATATCCCAGATCCATATTCATGCTGTTGATCACTGGATTGTCTGGTCCCGACTCGATTATTTACAGATCACTGCCACATAGCTGGAATATTGCTGAGTGCAGCATTAAACAACCAACCAAGCAAACATTATTAGTCCCATTGTAAAGAAATTACCATAAGGCCATAAGAATAGCTGACAGATGACTTTTGGTATTCAGAATTTTATGTTTGACTCTGGAATACTAGTAAGAATCAACCGCAAGTTTGTTTTGCACTGATTTAATTATGTACAACCTGACATGATACAGCATGAATATTGTGTCTGAAGCATTGGACGACAAATGAACACAACAAAATCACAGTTTTTAAGATAGAGGTAACAAAGTTACATTAAAGAAGGTATGCTCAACATTACTTGGTACTCTTTGACATCGAATGCATTTTGTGATTTTATATTGAATTAATTGTGTTTTCTATTCATAAATCTGCAAATATTTGAGTGGTATTATAATCCTTCCTGACTTTCTGTTTCAGAATGTTAATTTTCTCGCCAGATGTGCCTATGTTTTGATATGGGGGAAGCTTGTTATCATGAAGTATGTTGGTTCATGGTTATTAGCAGTAAGTAATATTTCCTGTACCTCACCATAAACAATAGCAATAAGCTGAACATGTCCTGATGTATATACTCATATATTGCTGGGCATTATATTTTTGGTGTACCGGCTTTTGTTCCCAAAAATTCAGGTTACAAAGAAAAGATGAAACATGATTCCCAGGGCTAGCTTGAGAATGTATCACATGGGGCAGTAATTTTCCTGAACCCAATAACCGAGCAAAGGAAAGAGAGTTTTGACCAACTTTAAGCCATGTTAATTCAAGAAGCACCCCCGACTATATTACCAAAGGCATTAGGATGTCTTATGATGGAATAAAACAGTCAACAGTGTACAACAAATTTTATAAAGGCATCATGAGACAGACTACAAGGACCATGCAAACAACTGAATTTTCTTTCCTCCCCCTTTTCTTCATGCTGGTTCTTTATATTTTTCACCAAATTCAATGGACAGTGATATATCTGTCGATCATTAATCTGAAACTTTTATCAACAGTTTCGTTAATGTGTACCAGACATAAATCCTCTAATATTTACGGGGCGGTGGGGTAGCCTAGTGGTTAAAGCGTTGGCTCGTCACGCCAAAGTGCCCGGGTTCGAATCCCCACATGGGTACAATGTGTGAAGCCCATTTCTGGTGTCTCCCGCGTGATGTTGCTGGAATATTGCTAAAAGCGGCGTAAAACCAAACTCAGTCAGTCAGTCAGTCTAATATTTACACTTGAGTGGAAGTGCATGTAATCTGAATAGACAAATATATCTTCTATCATTTATTTGATTAAGAGAGGTTACATAGTATTCAACATTTAATAATGATTTAGTACTCTATTTGTAATACCTGAGATGCAATGATTGGTTGATGTTGCCAAGAATATGCTGCATGTCACAATTCAGTATTCTGTTCGTAAGAATAGAGACAAACTGTGTTGGACTCAATATATACTGAATTGTTTTCATGATGTATTTCAAGATGTGTTTATGTTTTCAGGAAGGCAGCATTATAATATCTGGTCTGAGCTACAATGGGAAAGATGAAAACGGGATTGCCACGTGGGACGGATGTACCAATGTTAATCTCTCCAAGCTGGAGAGTGCTGTCACATTCCACCATATGATACAGTCCTTCAATATCAACACTAACATGTGGATGTCCAAGTAAGTCCTTAGGTTTACATACTATTCTTGTTTAATATCTTTTCACTGTGTCCCACAGCCATGAATGGTCATGTAACGAATATTACTGGTATCTTTTGTATTTAACACCAACAGTGTTTTCTGATTGGCAAGTGAGTGGTGGTGTAGCGTGTGCTTGTCATGCCGAACACCCTGGTTCGATTCCCCACATGGGTACAATGTGTAGGCCCATTTCTGGTGTCCTCACTTTGTGATATTGCTGGAATATTGCTAAAAGTGGCATAAAACTAAACTCACTCACTCACTCACTCAGATTGGTAAGTGTTAGATGTAACCAAAATGTAATTTTACCCACTGACCCACTGTCTAACACTCTGTTCCAAATAATATTTATAGGCATCAAGTAGGAAGGCATTTCCTATTCTTCCGGTACTTGCGGATATGGGCTGAAAAAGTAACACAAACAATTCTTATCATATGCATGCTTGTTGGTTTTAAGTGAAGGTCCTTCTCCTCTAACATCTGCATCTATCAGCTGCTAGATCAATCAGGTGAATTACCACTTGTGAGCCTGGTGATAAACAATGCCATCCGCCATTGACGACATGAGGCTTCTCCCATTCTCGCGGTATAACGAGGAAGTAATGTTATTGAGTGTATGGAAGAGCAATCGTGCCCGAAAGGGCAAGAAAACGTTATATGTCCAAGTTGGCATAAAACCAATGTTCATGACATTGCAAGATTTTGATCACTCGCACACTTGGGCCACTTCCTAGTAACTGCTCGGTGTCGCCCTTTGGCGATATCGGCAGAAAACATGTTTACCGCGAGAAAAGGAAACCCGCAAGAATAGGAGATGGAACTGTACTGGGTAACACTTGCAAATCTGAAAAAACAACAGATCTGTCTCCAAATTTACTCACTGATCAGCAACTCCTTGAAATATGTTCCACTCTGATTGGTTAAGACATGCCCACAGCAAACACTGTCATTGAATACAATAATTACAGAAATACCATTGTTTCAGATACATATTCAAGCGGTTGAGGTTTCTGGGCAACAAGTTTGTGTCTCAGGGTGTGACTCTGCTGTACTTGGCTGTCTGGCATGGACTGCACACTGGCTACTACATGTGTTTCATGCTGGAGTTCTTCATGACCAACACACAGAATCAGGTAATGGTGGCAGCGGCATCTTGTCTTGGTAACAGAAGTGGTGCCAGGAGGAATCAGCAAACTTCGATTAATATCTTGAAAGACCTTTTTATGATGCAACGTCATGCCATGCAATAAGAGTTATTGACTGTCTTCAGCTGCATCATGTGAATGTATAGGTTTGGTTTTAATCTGACATATTTCTTCCTGACATGTTTATCATGTCCAGTTCTTATTATGTGGCTGGTTGTTTTTGTTGCAGCTTGGGAGTATGGTTGATGCGAGCCCCAAGTTGAAGGACTTTGTGCAACAGCCAAGCGTCAAAATTGTTCTGTGGGGCATTAGCAAAATCATCACCACCTTCTCTCTGTCTTACGCCCTTGTTGGTTTTGGCCTTCTCACTATACCCAAATGGACTAAGGCAAGTATATGTGCATTTTAGGGTATTTTTTGTCCTTGTATGTCCGGTTTATGCTGGATTAGCCTCTTTGTTTTCTTGGAATTGTGTAGAAATTTAGGGCTAGGACAAGTCAATATTTACAACCTGGGTACTGACTCCCTATACACTGACGCAAGCTAGATACCTCTTGTAGGTCTAAAGATTTGGGTACAACATGGTAAAAACAATTAGTTACAGGTGCTAAATGATCTCATCGTTCATACACAAAGTTGACTGAAGCTTTTTTTTACTCATGCTTCTAAAAGTCGCAAGGAATCGTTACTTATTAAGAGAAGTGCTAATGTTAGAGACAAATATTTTTTAAACATGCTATTGTCACTAAAAAATGCATCATGTGACAAAGGACAGGTTCAGGTAATCCTATGGGTACACAGCTCTTACTCAGGACCCACCTGTCCGGGGGGGAAAGCTGTGATGTCGATGAAATACTGGTGAATGAACATTGTAAACCAAAAGTGTGTGTTTTCTGCAATTTCATTGGTCTAGAAACCTTGTAGTTCGATTCCCTGAATTACAAAAGCCGAATAACAGCCCAATGATACGTAAGAATATGCACTACTTTCATTTGCATAATGGAGGCTAACTCTATTTTGTGTGATGCAACAACATTACATAAAACTGGCATGATCGAATGTTTTCGGTATTTTTATGGGTGAGTACCTATTTTAGGATGTTTCTTCTTATTGAACTTTATTTTACCATTTTAAATAGTTGTCATAACCATCAAAATGTCTTTGGCAGGTCTATGCATCAATATACTACATTGGTCATGTTGTCTTCCTTGGATGGCCTGTTGTCTACTTTTTGCTCAAGAAATTTGTATTGCCACGGAAACGAGCTGTTAATGGAATCCAGAATACTCACACGTAAGTTCTGGGATAGGCAGTGTGTTCTTAAATGTAACCTTCCTTCCATCCAACAAATGGCAGTAGTGAGACTGAAAGAGGTATTTTCAAAATCTTTTAGTCACTTACACATGTTATTTTGTAAAGATCATGCTGTAACCCAATGTGTGCTTGTTAAAAGAGGTGACATATGGATTGGATGACTTGTGTGTGCCATTTTGTGATGACAGAATAGGACTTTGCTCATGATATCAATCACTGGGTTTTCCAGGTTTGATTACTTACAGGATCCTAAAGCTTGAATATGGCTGAGTGCAGAATTTACATTCACAAAAATTAATTAACTGTGAATATTTTCAAGTTGGTAGTGATAGTTTTCTGTTCAGTTGCAGTATATAGATGGTTTGATTTGTCAGTACACTGTCATCATATCAACCATTGAAGATCTGGGTTACAATTGATGTTCAACAACCCATGCTTTTCGTAAAAGGCAACTAACGGGATCGGGTGGTCAGGCTCACTGACTTGGTTGAGACATGTCATCGTATCCCAATTGTGTAGATCGATGCTCATGCTGTTGATCACTGGATGGTCTGGTCCAGACTCGATTATTTACAGACCGTCACCATATAGCTGGAATATTGCTGAGTTAAGTGTTAAATAACAAATCAACCAACCAACCGTCATCATATCAGACAACTTTTATGAACAAAGAATGTAAGACATGTATCTGACTGCGTTGTCGCCTCAACTGTGTCTCTCTGTGTTTCAGGTCTGAGGAAAAGAAAGACACCTAGGCTGGTTTGCTGTGATGTTTTTGTACAAATAATCTTGTAGCATAGAGAGAGTGTGAGTGTTTGCTTGAGATGAGACTGTGTCACTTTGTAAGACATTCCCACTGTGTTACTATCACAGTCATATCGATATGAGAATGTCATTTAGCAGTGAAATAAGTTTCATAGAAATTGGACGATTTGGTTGTGGGAATTCCATTTAAACAAATCATTTTGGCATGTCTGATTAAGGTTTTCAAAATGTGATTCCTCCCATGAATAATTGTGTATATAATACCCTATTTTCAGAGCAAGTTATAAACTTTAGTTCACAATGCAACTCATTTGAATTATTTAAGATGAATGATGTTTTGTTTTGTCCAGTTAGGTCAACTGACTAAATGCCAAGTGATTACACTAAAATGCACTAAGAATTATTATAAGAGTCAAGTTTATTCTAATTTCAGTCAAGACGAATTTGCATGAGGTTGTTATAGCATTACAGATATTCTAAAACCTAAAATAGTTAAAATGGTTTTAAAAAGTACTAGTACTTAAGTGTGCACCACTAGAGGTCAATCCTAGCACTAACAGAGATAGAAGTTGGCAAAAGCCGGCTAGCCCAAGTCCTAATTTGAAAGGCATCCCAAAGACTAAAAGTGATTAAAGCTTCTGAGGCATTTTTATATTTGTTATCACCTTTTGGGCTAGTGGGTGTTTGATGTTTGATTCCAGTCTTGAAACTTTGATATTCCTTTCGTCAATTTTGCCAAGTGCCTCTGCTTTGATATCAGATAATGGAACCAAATTATCAGTTGGTAAGGTGAACTAAGTGTATGTGTGTGTTTAAGTGGATAACTGCATGTGTGTACAGGGTGTGTGTTGGCAAGTGTGAGTGTTCACTGACATTTGTATCTGTATATTTCCATGTGTGTATGTGTGCTTGGTTGCATTGTGGTCAGTATCTTCATGCAATGCTTGATAACTTTTCCATATCACAAGCACGTGGAGGGGCCATGGTCCGCAGAGAAACTTGTACATACGGAACAGCTAGGATGAGAATATGATAGCAATCTTTTTGTAACATTACCATTTCATGAAATAATATAATGGGTGTATTTCTAACGTGTGAGCATTAAATATCAGCACAATAGTGTTTTACTTTGCCATGGTAATGATGTTTATAAGCAAATGGTCACTATAGTGCTCAGGTGAGGTATTATACTTTGTGTTAGAATGGAAGCATGGCCGTGGTTGAGATAGCCCTGTAAAGTCTGATTCTAACTGTCATACTGATATGTGAATATTTAATAAACATTGATTATTTGTAATTAGTAAGTTTGGTGGGGTAACTTTGTGGTTAAAACACACTCTTGTCACATCCAAGGCCTGGGTTAGTGTGAGTACAATATATGAAGTTCACATTTTTCTACTGTCCCCCACTATTGGTTCCTGCTGCTTTGGTGACGTGTTTACTAAAACATGTCACTAGTTGTGAATTGTTTGAGCTTGTAACCATGGTAACTAGCAGGGAAAACTGAATATGTATATAATGATTACTAAGACAAACAGAATTTTAATGCAGTCACTGTTGGAAGCTAAGGACATCATTCTCAGGGATGTAGGAGTAGCCATGAGGTTGAACTTCTGAGGCTGGATCAGGGTTTGAATCCTGACCTTGATATAGTGCATGAAGCCTCATGTTTTTGTCCCTAGTGTACCTTTTGCTAAGATCTCACATTATTTCAAGTTAGGGCTCCTGAGAAGGACCAAAGATGTTTCGGACACTTGGTATCAGTAAAAAGGCTTTGAAAATAACTTGTAAGAAAGAAAATGTCTGAGGACTACCACATTTACCATCATGTAGATGGCAGCTGTATCAGATCCTCAGTTTAGCCAATAAGAATATAAATTAATTTCTACACGGTCATGTTTCCATAGCTTGAGAGAAGTGTGCTTGACCACTACATAATCACACACGTGTGTCTTGTGCCAGCAGTTTTGTACAATGCTTCAGTATGATAATAGTTGTTGTTTTGAAGTTTCTACCTATTACAAGGTACAGATAATGATTTGTACATATGGGTGATCTACAGTTGATGAGTGAATATGTTTGGGAGTTAGTTGTTGTTTTTTGTGAGAAAATTTATTTAAGAAATGTTAGATGCATTTTTACCTGTTGGTTGATTATTTAATTTTATATGGTTACCATGGTGATTGTATATCCATGGTCACTACCAGATTGGCACAACCTGTGTTCAAATTTGAATCATAGTAGCTTGATACCTATTTAAAATTCTGACCCATCACTCGCTATGCCAGCATATGTTCTTATCAACGCTTGCAGCATTGGAAAGGCTTTTTTGTAAACAAAATATGAAGTGAGGCGCTACCTAAGTTCTGTACTTACAGAGAAACACATGCAGTAGAGACAGCATCAGCTAGACTAGCTATGATAGTTATGCACAATTAGATATGGCAATATATATGAAATATTCTCAGTTCTCAATTTAACCCGTAGTACATAGTATATAGTAGAGACATTTATATATTCAATTGTAGTTGATTCTTGCATTTTTTTATTGTACTATTATTGGTTGATGGGTCAAAATTTTTGCACATAGATAGACAGGACATTGACATTGACATGCTAACACTGCTTTCATCCCTGTTGTCTGATGTTGCATCTGGAGGCATTTGTGGTGTAGCTGATGCTTATTTAACACAACTTGTGTAGTGTCAGTTAACTACATTGGAGAACCACCTGTAATGCAAAAATGAATGAGATCATGCAAAATTTTATCAGGTGGGAAAATATATGCAGTAAGTTTGGTCTGGACTGTAACAGTTACACCTCTGCAAAACAGTTTAGGGGTCTTGGTTTGTATTGCTTATAGGGTTTCCTTAATGATGGATGTTTTCATTGACTGTTTATGGTTAGATGAGAATGCTCAAAAGTATGTTAGACATGCTGAAAACATGTTTGCTTTACAGATTAAAGAAAAGTATCACAAGATCTGGGTCTGAAAGGTCATGAAGAAAGTGTCGATAAAACACTGATAAAGAAGGGATTTGTCAGTCCAGTTTTACCCCTGTTTAAGTCCAAAATTGTGACTTGTTTAGTCCACCTCACAATTAACAAAAATTGTTTTGGAGACCTTTGCAGACATTTAATTGAAAGGACATATGATTTGGCACTTCTTCACAAATTAGACATGATCTTCAGACCACTAATTGTAACAGAGTTGTAACAGTCTGTGTATGATAAGCACCTTCAGATTTGGGTTATGAGGATGGAACTTGAACCTTCATTCTAAGTTGCCTCTCAAGTTGAGAAGAATGGTTAAGGTGCCAGTGCTCACCAAATGGTCTTGAATAAGAATCTGATCAGATGTAACACTGTACATCCAAGCTATAACTTGAAATTCAGGGGGACTAATATGTTAGATCATCTTCAGTTGTCAAGGGAAGTAGGTCTCCATTCAATTATGATTAATACCCATGCCCATTCACTACCATAGCTTTGTATTGAAAGTGGCATCACCATCTCAATGTCAATTTGGAATAACTTACCGCAGAATTGTCCTTGCATGTGTGAGTAATTTGATAGGTATTTGACCGGCTGTGTTATTTGAATAGGAATCAGAACGGTTTGATAAGGTGGTTCAAGTGGGTCCATAGAGTGGTATTGTAAGAGAATGGAGATACTATACTCTAGACAGTTGAGAATGCAGTTAAATATACAAACACTTCTTTCCTGCTATGACTGTCATCTTATGCCTTTCTTTGTCTTTAAGGGCGGTGGGGTAGCCTAGTGGTTAAAGCGTTGGCTCGTCACGCCGAAGACCCGGGTTCGATTCCCCACATGGGCACAATGTGTTAAGCCCATTTCTCGTGTCCCCCGCTGTGATATTGCTGGAATATTGCTAAAAGCGGCATAAAACTAAACTCAGTCAGTCAGTCAGTCTTTGTCTTTATATTAAGTTGAATCATTTCCCCCAGTATATCAAAATACCACAGACACACAGCCCTGTTCAACTGTCTATGTTAAACTGTTGGCTTCATGAAACCAGGGACCAATTGGTCTTGCACTTGGTCATGTTTGTATGGAAGATCCAGGGTTCGGGAAAAGACATTAATAAATCTCATGGACCTAAATGACATTAAATTTGTTATACCTTTGTATTATCTAAATATGCTCCAAAATATTCAACCCCTTGACCTGAAATTTCATAATTTTTAACATACCGAATGTGAATTCATAATAAACCCCTCCTTTGAGAAGTCCTGGTTCCATCTGCAAACTGTGCAGCAGTTTCCTGTATGTCTAACCTGACAGATGATTTGTGTTGAGAGATGACTGCACTCATTCATTCCTTTGAGGAATTTGTGTGAAAACTTAATTTGAGTTTGATTTTTGTCAACTTTCCAATTACCAAAGCAACATTGATCGTGTGATTTCATAGCCAATACTACTTGTTTTCCACATCAGATAAACTGGGATCAAAATTTTCAAGTTCATCTTTCATATTGAGATTCCAGAAAAGTATTATATTTTTGTGAAAGCATGCCATGACAGTTCCTGATAATATATGTCTGAATATTAGCTATGTGTTAGATGGGCCTAATTTCCCATGGCTTGTCACTTTAATTAAATGTTGTTAATATCCAATTGAATCAATTCATCTTAAAAAGAAATAACTTAATTTTGCTAATCAAATGCACTTGGTACTGGCTTATCATTATTAGATTTCTTAGATGATTTACCATATATTATATTGCTTGTCTAAGCCTTCTAAAAATGAAGAACACCTTTGAAAATTTGTAAAGGCATATTCTTTAGTCTTATCAACATGCATTCATGGTGGGAAGTAGGAGGTTAACAATTTTGTTTACTAGGGATGTCACAATACATACGTTTCATAAATCGATACGTATCATGATACCCATGTCAAGATTCTATATGTATCATGATACCTATTTTCGCGGCATTATTGTGTAAATTTAGTTACATTTTAAACACATTAATATTTCATATTTTATAATTGTCCATGAAAAGATCAACATTTTCTATTTTCAGAGAATAAAAAGTTATAATTTCTCATCTTTGTGCATGAAAAATAATCAATTATAACTCTCATAACATCAAAAAACATGATACAATTGCAAAATGTAAATGATGCATAAACATATTTAAACCAATACTTTCAAAACTAAATATCGATAGTTTTGAATGTATCGATAATTGTATCGTCTTAGAAAAAGTATCGATGTATCTTGGCATCCCTATTGTTTACCAGAACTTAATTCAAGCTTCTTTTATCAATGACTTCAACATATCTTTGGTGTGCTTAGTTTAATGTTTTGTGTTCATATCTAGCATTCAGTGTGTTTATTTTAGAGTGCTATTATCATGTGTTCCATGTTGTCTATCATTTACCTCTGTTCAGCCTTGCCAGGGTCCTCTTGGTCCGATGCTTTGTTTTCCTGTCATATTTCATTTTTGGCCACTTACTTCATCTGCTGTTTTGACAGTGTTTTTGTCAATAATATTTTAATGATAAGAATGTATATAGGAACTATAGTTCACAATCACTTTAAATTCAGATCATTAACTTGCTGTGATACCTTGCTTCATGAAGATCTGGGGCCACCTTCATATGTCATGTAAGGTGAAATCATCTTGTAGGCTTCTAAATTCTCAGTACAAGTGAGAGGGGCGATGGAGTAGCCTAGTGGTTAAAGCGTTGACTCGTCACGCCGAAGACCCGGGTTCGAATCCCCACATGGGTACAAGGTGTGAAGCCCATTTCTGGTGTCCCCCGCCGGGATGTTGCTGGAATATTGCTAAAAGCGGCGTAAAACCATACTCAGTCAGTCAGTACAAGTGAGAAAAGCATTCAGATATTTCAATTCTGTATCTTGAAGAGGAATATAGTCAAGGAGTTCAAATAGCATAATAATGAATTGTTTGTCTAATTTATTCATCAATTGCTTTGGATCACTTTAGCAATTTCACCCCGTAAGGTTGAGAAAGTTGACTGGCTTATGAACCATGCATCCTTCATTTGGTTTGGATTGTCACAGTTCAGTGTTCTGTCTGTGGACATGATCTTCTGTCAAGGTGACCCCTCATATTCACACAGAGAGGTATCATATCTGATTTAAAGATATGATTTTTTAGATTGGTGACTGAAATTACTCATAACCCTTTAAATGCTGAAAGACAGGCTTGTTTGAACAATTATTACAGTATTAACTTCAAAGTCCAAATTAATAGGCCCAAAACAACTTTAGACCCAAACATAAAAGTACTTTTGAAAATATTGTTTTTGGGGTCCAATGAAATGAAATGAGAAACACTAGATTTTATCACCACTCTTCATAAGAAATAGTGAATAATATGTATTCATATCTTTTGTCTTAAAAAACCCAATCACTTATATTTTCAGCATTGTTTAGCAATCATACTTCTGTGATAGTGCAGCTAAGATGATTAGTTGTTTTAGTCTGGAAGTTCAAACCAGTCCTATTATATCTTTTTTTGACCAGCTATATAGAACTTTACCCAAGACAATAACAAAAATGAATGGCCAAATCTACTCATAACAAGCTTTATTTTATTACTTAAGTCAGGATTAACATGCTCATACTTTTGCAAAGTGGGCAAAAATGAAATTGGCTATCTACTGAGCTTCAAATTGAATCTATAAAAACAATTCTTACCATCATTTGCCGTAAATAAGATGGTTTGGTGTCCAGTCAAAAAGGCCTCACCTAAAACAGGGTCCCATCTGGATGAATTTATGATTGAATATCCGTAGAATGTTTTGCCTTGTCTTACTTTGACACAGACAATGTCTGAATTCATGCAGGGTGCCAACTTTAGACTTGCCACAA